ACATACATACATACATACATACATACATACATACATACATACATACATACATACATACATACATACATACATACATACATACATACATACATACATACATACATACATACATACATACATACATACATACATACATACATACATACATACATACATACATACATACATATATACCATCCACCCCACTCTCCTTCGCTTCACATACCACCGCGTTTTCAAAGAACCTGCACTTTTTACCTCTTGTTTCGCTTATTACCGTATTTTAGTCGGACCATCTCTGTTTTGGAATTCTCTCATTTCCATCCCTACCACCTGTGACGCTTTTCATAAGCAAGTTGAAAACATGTAAATATTTGCTGGCGACCAACAATATCCAGCATCCCGTATGGCATAGCTAAGCTTAAGCTTAGTGACTTCCTGCGATTGCTGTTTAGAGCCAAGAGCGTGGGGATACCCCTATGACGTACTGTTCATCCTGTTTGGTTAAACTTTCTCATTGTAGTATACTCCCCCATCTTGTCTCTAGTATATTGGATGTTGCGGAGGATACCCTCTTTGGCGGTTTGTCTGTCAAGATGAACCTTCCCATTGTAGTGTACTCCTCCCGCTCTATGCCAGTAGCATTACATCAAGCCAGCATTGTTTTTACTTTGTTATTGTACATCGCTTCTTTAACTAACCGTATTCGAGTTTGAAAGCTACATTGTGAAGTACATGCAAATGAACAACTATTCCAAATGGTCCTTATTGGGTATCCTAAAATATCTATCAAATAATGTTGACTTTACTAGCGGAAACCTGGATGATATCGTTGAAGAAACAACTGGAAAATTGGTCCAAAGACAGCAATATTCTCCAGACAGCGAAAAATAAGGCTACAAAAATGTGGATCAACCTGAATAAAACTATTAAGCGGAAGGAGATAAAAGCTTTTATCGATAAACAGGACCTGAAGTTCGCTGAGGTAATCATATGCTTTGCTGTTGTATGCTCTGATTAATAATGACTTGGATACCAATCTGTTGAAGCGGTATGAAACCAATGTTGAAATAATATTATGATTAGATAGGAGATCAGGATTCATGTTTTACAAAATTAAATAGCGACGCATAATCAGATGGGACACAGATTTTGGTAATAAGAAATTTCTTATTAACGTGTCTATACAATAAACATTAGTAAGATAATTAACCGAAGAGGACAGACTAATATTAATGTGTACTATTACTGGTAAAAACTTCAACGTTAATTGCGTTGTAAAATAAATAATATGTAACATGTTTATGGTTATAACGTCAAGTAAAAATTTATTTCAAGTAGGTTGACTGTCAGTCACATTTTTGGCATAATAATAATATACAGTGTGTAACAAAAAAACCGCCTTCCGAAAATTGAACAAACCAAGGGAGCGTGTTGTTATTGATGACAAGCGCGTCTTTTGTTTGATTACTCCCCATGTTAGTAAACGTATTCAAGTAATAATTATCGTAACTAGTCCCGTTGTTCTCCCCCTTGTCCTTTGCAACCATGGAGAGACTTGAAGTTCAACGACAAACAATTATCATTATTGGCTTGATGGCGTCCAATCCCTAAATGAAAGACCAATATTCCTTATCGCATAGAAAACATGTGGTATATTGTCAAGAATAACGTTGAAACATGGATGCTAAGAAATAAAACAATTTATGACCGAAGAAT